GCTTTGTGGCGAACTGGCATTGAATCTCCGGTGTCAATACTATGGTTAGTAACTGAGTAAATCCTGGAACATCACTAAATAACGAAGCAAGTTCACTTACCACTTGTCGGATTCTTCCTTGCTCTTCATTAGGCAGGTGGTCAAGGCTTAACACCGGCGGTTCAGCCTTTTCTTCTCGAACTGGTTTCATCGTCAGCTTAAGGGACGCTTCATTAAAATCCAGCGTTGCTTGTGCCTCTGAAAGAAAATCTATTCCTAAGATAATATGTGCTTGCAGATTCTTTACTATAAAAAACATAACCTTTACTTGTTCGTCCTTGATATGGACGTATAGCGGTAATTTACCTATGCACTTACATCTTTCTCCTTGCACAGTTAACACTGTCGTATTATCCGAATTATATATGCGATATTCACGAAAATACTTCCTAAAAAAATCTTCTGCCACACAGGAACACTGCGCGCCTGTATCCAGGAGTGCGGTGGCTGGGATATTATTCACCAACACTTCAATCTTTGGAAGAGTCAAATTTTTCACCATCACTGTATTTAACTTGAAGGAAGAGGGGTTTTTCTGGCCTTCGGTTTTCCGCACCCTCCCGTCCAGCAAGAAATCCTCCGTTTTAGTTTAAATCTTGTTTCTTCCTTTCCATGCCTTCCTTCTTTTTCCACTGGCCTTCAGACTTTTTTTTGTGGCTTACTATTGAACTGTCGACGTTCGCCGGTTGTTTTTGGATACTCGGGTTTCCTTGCCCACTGATTCGCTTTGCTTCCGTAGCCGTGTGCTTGACTTTGCTGTGGTCTTGGCGCACCAAATTGGTTTCGTTGTTGATATTGGCGTCTTCTTTCAATGTCCGCCTTTCTTCTACTTTCAAACTGGATTGCTAGCTCAAATAATTTTTCCAGTGTAGTCGGATTTCTGAATTCAATAAAGTCTTGCACTTGGGGAAGTAACCTCAGCAAAATCACTTGAATTATCTCAGGATCCGGACGGTTTCCATACAAAAGCTTGAAGACGTGAATTTTTCTTAAAATAAAGCTTGAGAGATTTTCGATTCTTTGCTGCTATATGCTGCTGAAAAGTTCCGTTTCTAATTTCGCACGATCCCTTACGACAGGGAAGGAAGGTTTTTAGTAGGACAGTCTTTTAAATTTTCGTAAGTATAGGTGGGACTTCCTGCTTGACCCCAAGAGACTTTCTGCCTATACATTTGAAAAAACCAATTAAGCGCTTGGCCCCTCAAAGCGCTGGTAGCTAAGGTAACTTTTTGAAACTCGTGCACGGGGTAGAGCATGAAGAAGTGGTCATCCAATTTTTCCAAAAAAAAAAACTGGTTACCGGTGAGTTTCCATTAAAGTTGCTTCTGGTCTCATCGAAGCGCGCATGGTCTGGACGATGTAACCAAATCCTTCCAGGGCGGCAGCTGGCATTTCTGGATTCTGAGCCGCTTTCTGCAGGCAGCATAGGTCTTTTTTGAAACTCGGCATGGTTATTCTTCTTCGTTGGGCGCCACTATCAGGTTCAATGTTCCGTCTTACTTTCTTTGGGAACATGCACAGACCTGACTCGGAACTGGGAGCTTACTAAAGCTATGTTCAATAACTGTGGGAAGTAGACAAGATACACAGGAAGTGTATACAAAACCCTTTATTTTTCACTCTTTACAATAATTTCCGTACTTTGGAATACAGAGACCAACTACTTGTGGTCTGAGCGTAAGAATATAAAAAATATAACTAAACTCTAACTTAACTTTGGATAAATAAACAAGGGTCGACGTGTAAGATTGGCCGGATATTAACAGGAAGCCGTATGTAGTACAGAGAACTGTTAACACTACAATACGTTTAAAATTATCACGAGGTTTAAACCTCTGGCCTGGAAGGCAACTAGCAACTGAGTAAAACTTCTAAGGTAAGCGGCCTGCTTCGACTAACTCCTTCCTCTCTCTCTCTTGGCAAAACAAAAAGCCCACAACTTAAGTACTTGGCGTTCGCCAGACAAATTTTGCATAAATAAGTTAACGCTTTTAATTCTGGCCGGAAGTAGAAAATAAGAAGTGATAGTAAAGATTTAAAATAAAATAAACGTTAGTAAAACTTAAGATCCTTACACGTTATGTCAGTATGACTGACATGAATTTTTAACGGCCGCTCCGTATGGTAATGAATATGCTTCTGTAGGATTAGAACATGATGAACATGATTCAATGATCAAATAATCGTGCTTTCTGTACATAATGTCTTAGAGAATTGGCGAGATCTTCCGAATGACTGGTTCACGAAAGAGTTTTCGAGTTTCGTATTTAAAAAAAAAATCTGATGTGGACAACACATGATTTCCTTGTACGGCCTATTAAATTATACAGATTTTTACTGCAATTCATTTAAACTTGTTTCCTCAAATTCCATTAGAGATGTATTTCTCATTTAATCAAGTCAGTTCTCTCTTCGCGGAAAACAAAAATGTATAAAAACTCGAAACGTCTTCATTAAAATTTAAAAATACAGAAAAACCAAAACATCATGTGCAGTTAAAACAGTTTAAAAAGGAAAATAATATTTGTTATCAAAATTAGAGTTTCTACGCAAAAACAAACAGGCCAATCTTCGGTGCGCAAAAATTTTATGTTAAATTTCGATACCACGGGGCAAAGACACACCGTATTCGATGTACCAACTGACTTTATTCACTACACTAGTAAACGTTTGGAATGTAAACAAATACCCGCCACGTTAGGCCTAGCGCTACTTACCCTTTTAAGTTGTTGTTATTCTACAGCTATTGCATGCAGATTAACTAAAGGCGTAAAACTCTTTATCGGAACCTAAGAACAGCATAATTGAATCATACTTTTAAAGCAAAAAATGCACAGTTTACAAACCTATAAGAATAAAACAAACAAAAAAAGAAGCCGGGTAAGAGATTGGAAGCATATATATACACACACACACACACATATATATATAAGAATATGTAAAAAGATTAAATTAGCAGCGAAAATTAATTCCCTTCTGTATTCTAAAAATAGTACCTCTATTTGCACTGCGTTATTTCGAGAAAAATCTATGTCATATGACTTTTACATAATTCTGATGATTTAAATGAAACTAAAACTCAAACAGATAATAGTAATTTTACAGCAATATTAACCATTCAATCAAAATGCATTGAGAGCCAAAACTAGCTCTGTCTCAATTAAGATTTCACTCTGAACATAACGCACTTGCTTTCACCGCTTTGGCTTAGCTGGACTGCTGCCTGTCTGCTTCTTCTTTTTACTGCAAAATTTATCAAGAATGTCAGCTTTTTGGAATAGGCACAATAAATGTGCCAATTTGTTTGTGGCCACAACATGTTTACTGAAATAAAAGTTAAATCAAATATACGTTGACTGCCAAATTTCTTGTTCCTTGTGGATCGGCAGTTCAGCATTCTACGGCATCAAATCAATCTAATCGCTTTTGAATTATGCAGATGCATACATACGTACGTACGTACAGATGTCGCGAATAAACCCCTTCAAATTCAATTTTAAAACCATTTTACAATCTTTTTTGGAAAACAAAGCGTCCATTAGTCTGTCCGTATGTATAAATGTCCCCCAAAAAAGTAGTTCAAACGGATTCGGGAACGGTCATAATGGATAGTTTCGTTAAAATATGATACCCGAATGTTTTTTCGAATACAATGCTTTTTTTACTTTGTATGTGGAAGCGAAAATGGAGAGAAAAATTACATCATCTTGTAGAGTCATTAGACATTTTTGGAATCAGGAGGTATGAAAAATGAGCAATGCCCTCGCCGGGACTCGAACCACGGGCCTCTCGAATACGCGCCGAGCGTGCTGTCCACTACACTACGAAGGCATGCTAAGAAGGCGAGAGAAATACCTTATAATTTTAAGAATTCTCAATGGATTATTTTTAGTATTTCCAAACGTAATACAAGATATGTGATAGAAAGCATTCTTTGCGAAAAAAAGTATTTTCACGATGGATTCTAATTTACTAATTCACATTTGAATAGCTCTTGTTTTGAAAATGAAAATGAGATATCATGATAAGTTCATGAAAATGTTGCGTATAGGTAGATGCATATTTTAGTGATGCAAATTTTGAAAGTTACCGAATCACACTCGGGCATGAGTCCCAAAAGATTAAGTAAAGCCGTTGTATATTACACATTCTAAGAATAAAAATCCTCATAAGTAAACACGGTGTATTTCCTAAAAAACCGGTTAACTCATCTTAAATCTTATTTCTGTAACATGGACAACAATTAACGAAATATTTACTAGTATATTCTATATTCTGATCTATAATATGCATATTATATACCCTTGTTTTTAGATAAAAATTTAATTTTTTTTGGAAGATCAAAATCTGGTTGCAAATTATTTAATGATACGTTCTATTTAGAAAGACATGAAATACTTTAAAAATTAAACAGTCGTCCAAATAAAAATCTGAAACTGATCGAGATGGAATGAGACTATTCCTATAATCAGAAGAATAATGTTCTTTAACATCTGTATTAATAACTGTGTATTAACAACTGTGCTCAGCTTATTAGGTACAATTGCAGCAGCATAGCATATATTTGGATAAGAAACAAGTGCAACTACTTATGAGGCGATCACCTCTAAACGTTCGCAGCATTTCCAAGACCTACTTTGCAATGTTGCAATTTTACCTACTTAGCAAAAATAACGTTCAAAGATACGTTGTACCTCTAACGATATCTAAACTGTACGTTAGAAATATTCCAGACTTTAGTCTAAGTTCCAGAGAGTTTTATCGTCCTAGATAAAGCAGTGGAGCAACAATTTTAAATAAAATAAAATATTCTTTTATGACATCCATCATATTTCAAGCACCTTTGCAATAATCCCTCTTTTCCAGAGGTAAGTGCATACAACAAAGACTCATGTTATCCATATTTATTCCTTAACAGCAGTATGTGACACGTGACACTGGTATGACCAAGCAATGACAGGGATTTTTCGCTAGTGTAATTTCCTTACGTGTAGGGAATATTTTTCTCTCAGTGTTTAACTGATCGGAGAAGGAAGTTCATAAACTTAACAGCTATTCCGATTGACATGAGCGTGTAAATGTGTTAAGATTTTCAGTTTGACAGATTTAAAAACTTACTGCTATTATTGTTTCATGTGAAATCGTTTCTCTTTTACCAACCAAACTGCTCGTTTCCATTAAAGACAGTAGCCGTTTTGGACATTAAAAAAATGGTAAATTCTTTTCTCTCTATTTTAAAATCATTTGTTTAATTATTTAATTTTAATATTTATTTCGAAATGTTTTCATATTATTGTAGGTCTTGAAGTCCATGACGCTTTTTATCTTTTAATTCGTTTGCAAAATAGTTAGTTTTTAGTATTCGATAATTACTATTAAACTCTAAGACAAGTAAATTTATCTTTGCCATGCTGATATGTGAAAAATGTGAAATTATAATGCTATGTGTTACTATTTCGTAAACACATTCGAGATAATTATTTTTTCAGTCAAATCTGCCATACCTATATGCAATAATTATATTATTTTTTTAATTTTTATTTGAAGTAGTAAATTTTACCTTTGGGAAAACTGGTATTAATAATTATTTATAATTTATTTTATTTATTTAATATAAATGACGCATTTAATCTCCTTGATGTTCATTTTTTTCAATGAAAAAGTGTTCAGTATAATCATTTTTTAACCGAAACTAATTCACAATTGAATAGCTCTTGTTTTGAAAATGAAAATGAGATATAAGTTCATGAAAGTGTTACGTATAGGTAGATGCATATTTTAGCGATGCAAATTTTGAAAGTTACCGAATCACACTCGGGCATGAGTCCCAAAAGATTAAGTAAAGCCGTTGTATATTACACATTCTAAAAATAAAAATCCTCATAAGTAAACACGGTGTATTTCCAAAAAACCGGTTAACTCATCTTAGATCTTATTTCTGTAACATGGACAACAATTAACGAAATATTTACTAGTATAGTCTGATCTATAATATGTATACTATATACCCTTGTTTTTAGATAAAAATTTACTCTTTTTTTTTTTTTTTTGGAAGATCAAAATGATTGCGTTTAATTAACGATTTATGAATAGCGGTATTTAAGTGAATTAACTTAAGTTTTAACTATCACATTTGTTTCCTTGAGGTGAAGTCTGTCTGTTTGGTAAAGTCTTATGATACCTCAGAATGTTTGACTACTGTTATTATATCCAAATTATAACGATCAAAATCTGTTCTGTTCAATCTGTTAAGAAAGGACCAGTTTCCCTTAAAACGTCTTCCTCCAAGCAGATACCCTTGAGTGCTGTATCACGTCCGAATAAATAAACAAGTAAAACAATTTTTTAAATGCTGTTGCCAAAAGAAATGTTTATGTAGTGCTATGCATTTCCAACAATATAGCTAAATATTTTTTGTATTCATTTACATAGTTTCTCATAGTGATTTGTGATAACTATGTTGTTAAAATCGTTACCTAGATGGTATAGTGGTTTGGGGAGCCTACTGTGGTACCCAAGGGCCCGGGTTCGAATTCCGAAGAAAGATTCGCTGTAATTGCCCGTCCCTTCATAAGCATTGCCCAACCTATTAAGTATTTCCACAATAAAGTGGCCCCCACTTCCGGCATTAGTAGTCTTTCCCGCCGATGGAAAAAACAGTGTTTTTAAGATTTTATGTAAGGTAAAAAGCGGAGACTAGGAGATAAATGAAATTCAATTTGCAATGGACGAAATTTCACGTGGGTATTTTATACCTTTTTTTTTATCATACTCTATCCCCTGCCCCCCCCTATCGCGTACAGAAAAATTAAAGGTTTCGTTAAAAAAATTCAAGCACTCAGAATGAAAGCAGCCATCTTAAAAAGAGAAGAGGAATTACTTTTATTAATGCAATTATTTAGATTAAGAGTGGGTAGACTCCTGATTAGGTTCAATCACATCTTCAGTCAATTCTTAGAAAGATCTTAATAAATTAAGTAAATTATTGGATATATATCAAGTCATCGATGATTAATAATAAGCTACGTAGGTGGACTGGGCTTCGCCCGATAGTCATACTGATACTTTATACACTCCCTCTTTTAAAGGGAGATTAGGGGACTCAGTCGCCAAATCCTGGTGGTGAAGAATCATACTAATACTCATAGTTTAAAAAAAAAATTTAAGTCCAAAGGAACAATTTACTCAATAGGACTATTAATTTCGTTTTGGCATTTTGCGTTGATTCACTACAAACGTTGTTTCACTTTTCAAACTGTTTCCGCCAAATATTACATTTAAGGAAATTAAATGAAGAATCTGCATAAATGTATGTATGTTTCTCGCATTGTGATCAAACAACGGTACCTAGAGCCATCAAATTTTGAATATTGTAATCTTTCTCCGAATATGGGCATCTGGAAGCCTAAATTTGAAATGTGAAATTTGTTTTATTATCGATTTCATTTTTGCAAAACTTTACGAATTTTTGAGTAACAAACTCAAAGATTTCAAAGCGAGCAATGACAACGTTGTACAGAAAAAACATTTTTAGCTCCTTATTTTTTATCTTTATTTAAACCATATTTATCCATATTATATCTTATTATTATTTAAATTCTAAAGATATGCGCATTTTAAAATTATTTTGTGATATTGCTGTTGAACTGAATTTTATGGTTTGTTTGCGAAGAACATGGTATTTAATAAACAAAGGTAACATACAAAGTGTTAGAAAAACGTCCCTTTTAATAACAGGTATGTAAAAAGGGGTTTTATTTTGAGAAATGGGTAGGAAAAGAAAAACATTAAAATCTTCGTAAATGCAGACAATTCCATAAAATTACACTATGCGCTGCAAATAGGTACTTAACGCAATGATACTAATTACACAATGAATGTCCGTTCCAACTTCAAGAAGAAAACTGGAACTTAATTAAAATCCGATAACGCGAGTTTAACATTTGTTATAAATTTCATTAAGTCTTTTTAGCACTTAAGATTCAATTTTTTTTCCTTAAAAAGCGCAATTATAGCAAATTTAAGATTAGCAATTGCAGTAAATTTTTAGAATATTGATGAAATTTTCTTATCTTTAAAATTTCATATATTTTTCATATGTACTATTTTAAAATGTACAGACACTTGAGTAGGAAACATACGATGTTTCATTTAAAACTTTATCTTAATAATTTATAAGCTGTTAACTTAATGTTTATCCTGCCGTCATTAAAATTAAATATTTTATTGAATAATTAATGAAAAGCTTTCTTCTGTATTCAAATCGTGAATATTACCTGTCCAGGAGTTTGGTTTATTTAAGTATGGCAAAGCACTTGAGAGCTATCTGCCTAAGGAGAAGGATACCTTCGTGGAGGACTTTCTAAGGGAAACCAGTTCGTATACATGTTACATGGGGAAAATCACGAAAACGCCCATGCAGCCAACCCGTTCGCCGGAATTCGAACTCTGGAGCGAACTACCAGCGATCAGCGACTTTACCGCTCGGGCTGCTGGCCGGTCCGTTCAAGCGAAGAGATGCCTTTTAGGAGGAGTTTTTAAAGAAAATTGTCTTGTGTTCATGTTACAGTTGCGAAAAGCCACGAAAATTCCCGTGCACAGAACATTTTAAACCACAATTTCGTGCCCGAGTTTTGAACTTAATAAAAACGTATTCTTAAAATTTTACTTATATAACAATAAATTATTTAGAATATGGTTTAATATAAAAATTTATTATAATACGTTATTTAAAATTTCTCTTTGCGTCAGTTTTAAGTGTTGACAGCACTATTGATATTTCTCAAAGAAAGAAAGGAAGGAAGAAAAAAGAGAAGAAAAAAAAAGGAAAAGCAAAAAATCTTTGCTCATTTGTTTACCACTGTTTTCTTATTTTCTAACAAAATTATTTATTTTGCTAATTTTATTGTCTTTTTTTTAATCGGAAAATTACCAACTATTGCAATTTCCATTTTGTGCCGATGAATATATCAGTACATATAAATTTAAATTTTACTTAAAAAAGTAATAAGAGACAAAAATCTTTTCTATTTTTCTTATTTACATTAAGAAACTAAACTTTCCTGATCTTTTTTTCTTCCAATCTACATACCTAGCGATCTTTGTTTTCCTCGTGTACTTCGTTTGTGTGGACATAAAAAGGAAAACAAACAAACATGCCGATAGAAGAGGAATATGCTTAGTCAGGGATTTAAAATTAGGCAAAAATGCAATCTTTGTTTGGCATAGATGTTTAATAAACCACTATCGATTTCGAGGACGATCAGATATAAGTTTATCTTCTTCATGAGAAAAAAAACTTTTTTGCCTTAATGTGTTTACGCTTGAAGAAGAATGAATAAAGTGGTTGATCGCCTTCAAAACCGATAGAATATTATTCAAAATTTATGCCAAACAAACGGAAAAAAAATTATCTCCGGCGCGTGAGACTGTGTATCGGAAACTCTAAATAAAATTAAATATTTTGAGATATTGCTGTTGAATTGAATTTTATGATTTAAGTGCGAAGACATGATATTAAGTAAATAAAGATAACACACAAGCGTTAAAAAACGCCCCTTTTAGCGTAATATAAAATCTGAAAGATTTCAGATTTTTTTTAAAAATATAATTGCTTTGAAGCCTTCTAGTTTTCTGGTATTTTTACATCGAGCACTTAGTAGAGTTTCGGGGCTGCAATTTATTGATCTCTTTTTCCATTAGGCATCGAACTCACCAGTGGCCGAGTGGTAGCGTCGTTAAACTCTTGTAGTTCGATTAGGGTTCAAATCCCAATAGACGGGTTATTTGCATAGGCGTTTTTGTTGCTTTCCGATGTGTAACATAAATACGAGACATTTTTTTAGAAAGTCCTCCACGGACGCATCCCTCCTAATCGGCAGGTAAGCTCTCGAGCCGCTTTACTCTAACCGACTGACCCAACAATTAGGCATCGTCTTCATGCTAAATCTTGACATTTCTGATATTTTAATATCAAGCAATTTATGCCTATGTGCGGTGACTGAAAGCCTTTAAGATAGTTTGGAATCAGATAAACTCTGCTTTTCTTTTTCTTTTCCGGAGCAGAGTATTTTAATGTTTTGAATTACATTTATATAGCATTACAAATCATTCAAAAATACGGGTTTCTGTCATCCCCTTCAGCAATCCGACCACACAGTTATCCACTTTCATACGGCGCTCTCTGAAAGATATTTATTCTTGTGTTGCCCTG